TATATATATATATATATGAATATATATGTATATATATATATATATATATATATATTGTACATGTATATATATATATACATTATATAAAATAAAAATTTAAAAAAAAATCTCAAAAAAAGTGTATCTCATATCATAGATTACAGTATGTTTCTATTAATTTCTTTCTATTCTATTTTAAAATACCAATCAAACAGTAAATATAGACTCGGAGTATCAATATTTTAACAGTTTGACATGGATTCGGGCCTAGATACAAGCAGTGGTGGTGCAAGAGGGGGACTAGGGGACCCTCGTCGAGTACATTCTGTAGGGGAATAACAAAAATATAAAAAAATATTTTTACGTCTGTTCGTTTAGAAACCATATTGTCTTCGCTGACCTATTTGTGTTAACTTTTCATCACAATAATACGATAACAAAAACAATAATACGGTGATAATAACAATAATAATAATATAACATAAATTCACGTGCCGTTTTATTGTTAGTTATCCAACAACCATATTGAGGCCATAAAAAAGAACTAAGTCAGCAGAACTGTGCCAAGTGTCGAAACAGCATTTTGACACTATTTTTTCAAAACGTCTGTTAGGTATTGAAATAAAAAAAATAATACAAATTCCCCTCTCCCCATTTGGAAAATTCTGGATCCGCTCCTGTTCAATGGAACTAATTAAAAATGGTTTACGTTCTACTATGACAAATGCTTGTTTGGATATCCTTATGATGCTTGGAATACATCTTGATCGGGGAAGCAACCTCGTGCTCATGGTTTAAAGATTTCCGGCAAAATTTGCAAAATTTATAGCTTCACTTTGAATTAAAAGCTTGTAGGCCTACTGTGACGTTCCCGGTGACATTGTTCTTTTCTTAATTTATCACAGCATAATGTGTGCAAATTGGTGGCCTTACAATTTACAGTAAGATATTATTCTTATACTGTATTCGTAATTTTATTGTTAATAGTTCACAATCACAAGATTTATGGAAAAAAATGTATTTCGCCAGGATGTGAGGATAGTATTGTAATGTAATATGGTGGTTTTTTTGTTTTTTTTAATAATATAAAATGTAAAATGGATTTGAAAATAAGTTAGTTGGTTACATTGCATACTCTTTGTTTCTCGTTGTTTTATCCAAAAATTTTCGGTTTTGGAACATTAAAAAACATACATGATGTCATATTACGGTAGCTTGATGTCAAATACTGTAACTAACAAAAATTCACCAAAATTTGTCAAATGTTCGTAGCTTCGCCCCCTGAACCCCCACCAGTGGCCCCGTGGCAGCTCTTCCCCAGCCAAATAAGTCTCACTTTGCTCACCTAGCACCCCCCACACCCGTCTGGGCTTTTATCCTGGCGTCATCACTGGATACAAGGTAGGTGAACGTAACGTGTGCCCCTGTCACTCACGATCAGGTATAGCTTACTGACGATAGCCCTATATTGCCTAATACTGTTGGGAGGCTCTATGCTTTACTATACAGGCGCCCTACCATGGACGTTTGTTGCGAATGCTTTTTCCATTTAGCCTAGAGACCTTGAGTACTAGAGTTGCGCACCTCTCTGTGGTTATCATAATACAGTCGGCAGATATGTTGTCGGCAGGACTGTTAATCATGTATCCATAATATTATTTTAAAAAATAAAATTATATTAGGCCCCATGCCTGTGTTCACTGTTAGTGTTAAACATACTTGTGACAGTATCGTATATGTGGGATGGTGTTTTTATGCAAGGAGGTGGTAGTTTATGTTGCTGTAGTATTGTACTCCTCTCCTGTATGCCATTTTATTGGTGATCTGCTACACTAGCGGATCGCCTATTGTTATTGTACTGGATCAACTTTCTTATTCTTCTTTTCTTTCTCCCCTTTTCTGTTCACACGATATCTCAAAAAATTCCACGAGTTACGCACAATCGCTGTCAGCGAACATTTGGCTTGGTCTGGAATAGTCATGGTAAGCTTTTGAATGCGCTCAGTCATGCATGACGTCATCTATGCGCAATTTTGCGTTTTTACATTATCGATCATATCAGCCTAACCAATTGCCATTTCGAAATCGTATTAAGTGAGCATTAACTTCGGGTTAATGTTGAATGCACTGTACCCTAATTTTACGCGTGCTTCATAATGCGCGTGCACGCGTGCGTCAAAATTTTAAAATGCTTGAAATCACTTTTTAAATAAATTAGAGCATGTTTCATGCCGTTTTGAGCATTTAAAATTTTGTTTAATTTTTCCAATACGCGCACGCATTTTTACGCGTGCAGCAAGTACGGAAGCTAGACACTATGTTTTTTCACATAGTTTGGGTTCCTGACATTGTTTTCACAAACTTCCATTCTTTTCGGTCATTTTTTGGCCAATAGCAATACCGTACGTGCGCATCAAACATAGGTATCTTTGCGCGTATTTGTGCCGCTATACAGTGAAATTATGCTAAAATCAGACCTATTTTTAATCAGTTATAGCTCCTTAGGTTGAAAGGTGACCACCCATTTTCATTATATATTCTGAAAGCACATGAGTTGTAAATATGATTTTATAGATCATAATGGCTGATCGGACATTGTGACGTCATCATATTCGCATCTGAATTCAAAGAAAGTGATTTATGCTATGACGTCATTTTTTAAAATACGCATTTGAGCGTATCTCGCTTATCCTTGATCGATCGTCTTCCAACTTTCAGTATGTTATAGCTGAGACAATTCTCTTTCATATATTTGACGTCTTTTTACATTTTGATGATGTCATCATGGTCAAAAAATTGTTTTTTCTGACCCCCACATCTTTCTAGAAAATTTAAAGCACGTTTCAGGTCATTTTTAATATTCAACAACTTTCCAAAATTGACGAGCCGTACGCTCATTTCCACGCCCACAGCACGTACTGAAGCTGGAAATTACGTTTCGGTTACATGTGTTGGGTTT